GCAGGAAGAGAACCCCAATTTGGCATTAATTTCCTGAGGAAGGGAAGTTAACCACTTTGGGGCTTCTCACAGCTCAGAAGAGATGGGCTTTGAGTAATCCTTTCATCTCCATCACCCAGGGGAAGAGGGGTGAGAAGTCTGTGGGGGGCAAAGCAATGCAAAGCAACAAAATGGTGCCCCATGTGAGGATGTTCTCCACAGATCGGAGATTGACCTGCCAAGCATTAGAGAAGAATAGGACATCCCGTGATTCATCCCAGCAAAGGGAGTCCCTAATAAGGGAGATGAAATGCACCCCGGTAAGGGAATCACAGGTGGCTTTCGATTAGCAAACTGCATGCCTGCGGCAGGTTAAACTTAGTCTTTTTCAACCCCAGAGATATTTTTTCATTTTCTTTTCTTTTAAAATGTGGATAATTCATTAATGAAAGGGGAGACTGAACATACATTACAACTTCAATGTCTCCTTAAAGTAGCAGGCTGTAAGTAACTGAATGGCAGCTTGTAAAACTGTTAGTGGATATTAAACAACCATGTCCTTGATACCTCAAGGAAGGGAGCCTTAACATAAAAGTTTGAGAACAAATTGGTCACTGGTTAATTATGCAATGGGTCTCATTAAGGCTTCCCACCTAACAACTAGGAATCTATGTCAAGTCGCTCTGAGACCTATCTAAGACCTTGACAAAAACTAAGACATGTTTATGTCACCAAAAAAGGATAAAACTTAATCTTTGCCAGTGACTGAGAGAACTTTAAATTGGACAATCTAAAGTAAAAGAAGTTAATATTTCTTTACAATGTTGGTATTGCTTGAGCATGTTTTTCTTTCTTATCTGCACAATGCTTCTCTCCTCTCTTAAAAACAGTGGTTCTTTTCTCAACTGCATGTGCTACTCTTTTTCTCTAAAGACTCTGGAGTTTTATGAAGAAAATCAGCCATGGCGCCAACCAGACCCCTTTTGGGTCTACTGCTCTTCTCCTAAAAACCTCAAGAGTCAAATGGTTTCATCTCTGATTGGTGGCTCAACTCTTGAGCTCAGTAAGCCATTTGAGAAATGAAAACTAACCTAAAATCTGCCTGTTTAACTGGATGATCTCAAATTTTCTGGCATCCACGTGGTTATCTTAAACAGACTTCTAAATTCTCTTCTGCTCTCATCTATGTATTTCTTCACAAAATCCTACTGGTAGAATTCTATGCTATCTTCTTAAAGGAAGAAAATCTTCTCTGCATCTTCTTGAAAAGGTTTGCATACTTTGCTTTACAATTTAAATTTGTTATCTTGCTTTCTTTAAGGCAAGGTGAAGCCTCACCAATAAGTCTTCTAGAAAAAACACTATCTAAACCTGACTGTCCTTTTCACTAGTGAGCTTTTTTTTTTTTTACATCTTGAACAAAACCTATAAGATCCTTGTTTGTTCTCATTGTTCATGTCTGCATATATGCATGTGTAAGCTGTATGTTATATGTATATGTTCATGTCTGTATGTGTAATTGTTTTATGTGCAAGTACCAAATTGGCTTATAATTCATGCATGCTCATTAGATAAAAAAAAGTATACTTTTCAAGTTCACGTGACTTAAATCTTCTAAAGTTTTGATGAATATATTTTCAAAATTTGATTTAAACCTTTTACCTAAATTTGTCTCTAGGTCAATATGTCTCCTTGTTATCTCAGCT